GGAGACGCTGCTGGGAGGTACGGCTGACGCTACCAAGGACGATAAACCTTCGGCTTAGTGTACCTACCCTCTTGGCTCCACTCGCTCCCGCCCTGGCCTTCTGCCTGCCCTGTGGGGGCCATGCCTGCTCGCGTCTTCTGTCCTCGTGTGGTGGTTGCAGTAAATGATAAGGGACTATTTGTGAGGTGGTGGTCGGCGGTTAGGGCAGTGGTTTAATTTACTTGCCTGCGCCTCTGAGGCGGCACTGTTGTCATCTGCAGTGCAGCTTCATCCTGACGGAGGTCTGCGTCTGGTCTAACGGTGGCACTGGCCTGTTGGGTGGTGTCAAGCTTGAAGGTGGTGATACCCAAGAAATGAGGGTGTTCTGAAATGGCAGGAGTCTCTCAAAAACGGCTCAGGCTTGCAAAAGCCAGGGAGGGATGTAGGTGAGTGTGTCTGTATTACAGGTTTCTGGAAGCACTTTGGTTAGAAAAGATGTATTCAGGGCTCTGCGGGGAATTCTTGTTCCTTGTAGGAACTGCAGATAGCAGTAGGGGAAGTACTTGAAAGCTGGATTAAAAAAAACAGCTTTGCAGTTAGGATTGTGATGGTGTGGGGGGAAAAAATGGGCATTAAAATGTAAAATAATTAAGCGTTAGCAGGTATGACTTTTGACTAAGACACTAAAGCAGAAAGAGCATTATATGGAAGTTTCATTCTCTTTGCTGAAATGCTTACCTTGACTGTAAAGCAGTGTATTATTTTCCAGTTTCAAATGTATTAAGAATTGATTACTGATTGTAAAAGTATTTGACTTTTACAGACTACTAGATACATTATGAGGATTGATAGAGATAGCATATGAATTATCTGAAGTAATATGGTTTATTCTAAATAACAAAACCAGAAGATTGTATATTTTTTTTATTTGCAGTTTGTTTTTTTTAAGATTAGGCCAAACAAAGTAAATTAGGTATTGGAAAAAAACCCTAGTAAAACATAGCAATGTAAATTGCTACGTAGCAAACTAAATATCCAGGAAGGAAGCTTGTTTAATGTTGTCCTCTTAGGCAGCAATCAGTCAGACTATTGAAACACTTAAGAGTTTGCTGGATCAGGATCCTACTAAATACATTAAGTGTATATGGATACTACATAATGCATTCTTTCTTCATTGGCTTATGTACACTATTCCAAACTTTTATAGTAGAAACTGCCATTGCAGGAGTGAGGGTAGAATTTTTGTTTAGCTGAAGTATGAGCTGTGGTCCTGCTCAGGTGTATCTTATTGCTGTAAAACTTCATTTTGTTAGAACCAATAACCATGTACTGCATGGAGAATATTCACTGTTTCAGGCAAGAGTTTCATGAGCAAAAGGTCCTGGAAGAATAAAGATTGTTCTGGAACATCTTTTTTCACCATGTGTAAAAGTCTGTGTCAAGCCAAAATGGTCCATCACCCAGTGGTTAAGTGATAAAGCATACCTGGCTAGCTTTGACTTCCAGCTATGCTTGGGTTACTGCAGGACTGGCCTTCAGGAGAGCCCTGAATGAAGCTTTGTTCTGGTTTAGGCTGGGATAGAGTTAATTTTCTTCCTAGTAGCTGGCATGGTGTGGTGTCTTGGATTTAGGATGAGAATAATGCTGGTAACAGACTGATGTTGTAGTTGTTGCTAAGCAGTGCTTATGCTAGTTAAGGACTTCTCGGCTTCCCATGCTCTGCCAGGTGCGCAAGAAGCTGGGAGGAGGCACAGTCATGACAGCTGACCCAAACTGGCCAAAGGGGTATTCTGTGAAATCATGCTGTCCTGGTTTCAGCTGGGATAGAATTTTCTTCCTAGTAGCAGGCATAGTGCTGTGTTTTGGATTTAGTAGGAAAAGAATGTTGATAACACACTGATGTTTTAGTTGTTGCTGAGTACTGTTTATGCTAGTCAAGGACTTTTCAGCTTCCCATGCTCTGCCAGGTGCACAAGAAGCCGGGAGGGGGCTCAGCCAGAATAGTTGATCCAAACTGGCCAAAGGGCTATTCCATACAATGTGACGTCATGCTCAGTAAATAAACTGGGGGGCGTTGGCCAGGGAGCAGCGATTGCTGCTCGGGAGCTGTCTGGGTATCGGTTGGCGGGTGGTGAGCAATTGCATTGTACATCACTTGCCTTTTATATTTTTATTATTATTATCATTATTGTATTGTTAGTATTATCATTACTATTTTACTTTATTTCAATTATTAAACTGTTCTTATCTGAACCCAGGAGTGTTTCTCACTCTTACTTCTCCGA